CTTTCAAGTAAAGAAACCTGGTTTAGCTGAATTTTGGGCAAGGTTATTGTTCCTTTAGAGTAATGTAGGTAACTTTGAATTAAATTTAGTAAAGCAGTAGGTATTGCTTTGCAAACCTTTTGATACTCTCTATTTGAACTTTGAATGCCATATTTGGTTTTGAACTCAGGGAAGCTAAGAATTTGACCATGGCTATCTAGTATGTCTGTGACAAAAATGATATCTTTCTTATCAACTTCGAATGAATAAAATTTTTCTGTTAGATGTAATAGCTCTATTATTCCACAAGGTGGAGCCATGTGGAGAAAAAATATGGGTAAACACCCTCTTCCAATAATGAAGAATCTGTTTGTGGTATTCAGACAATTTAACAGGCAATTTGGATATTTCAAAATCACATCTCAAAAGAAAATCCATTCCTCCCACTTAGCAAACTATATAGAGTCAGGGTTACTTAAAAAAGATTTGATCCAGTTAACTCTGAAAACACCAACCATACATTCGAAGTCAATAGTTTTTTAGTTCTTTATTATAATCTTTAAGAAGTTGTGATTTTTTAATATAATGAGTTTTATTGCGCCAAATGAATTGATATAGTATTCTATTTGTTTTTTTTAATATTTTGTGGGGTGATTCAGGCAATAATAACTGACTGCAGCCAAATGCAAACAAATGTACTCATGCAAATAAGGTATTTCCAAAGAAGTTTCGGAGGAGAGATGGTATCGGTATTGGTATCGGTATCGGCAGATGCTCAAAGTTGAAGTATCGGTATCGGTATCGGAAATCAAAAAGAGGTATCAGTCCATCCCTAATATATATATATAATTTCTTAAACGGCATGCCATATATATGTATATATATTCATGTGATCATCTGCACGAAAACAGTCGCATTGCACCTTGACACAATGGGCTATTATGCATAAACAAAAGTAGAATGTTGCTACCACATGACACAAATCACGGGACAGGATGGGTGGCAATGACACATTGCTCGTGGCGCCTGCGCACAAGTGATTTCTGTGGCTTCTTTCTGGTGTTACCGCTTATGCATGCTGACGGTATTTGACACCGATATGGAACGTTACATTACGATGCTCTGTAATAATATATGTTACTGTCGTGTAGAAAACAACTAAATTAATCGATCTAAGTAAAAAACCTCAAAATCAATATTTCATCATGTGTTAACGTAATTCATGCTGTATCTCGGATATAGCCCGAGGCACAATGCGACTGATTTTGTGCAGATGGGTCACACACACACACACACACACACACATACATAGATATATATACACACCCACAAAACTTGACTGGATAAAGCATTTAAAAACACAGGTTCTTGAGTGCAGGTGAACTCTAAGAAGTCCAGGGGCCTCATGTACAAAGGGTACGTACTTGTCCACGCTAATGTTCAGATGTATCAAGAGTGAAATGAGCGTGGAAATGTGCGTTCCTCCACGCCAACTTCTTGACTGGAGTACGCACGTTTCTATTGCTTTTGAGCTGTTGTCATCTGGATCATCAGCCGCTTTACGTTCCCGAGGGCAATCCTCTTAGAACTGTGCGCGGAGCTGCGGCCATTATTGGAGCGCAACACGGCCAGGAGCCATGTCCTACCTGTGCCCATACAGGTGCTGACCACACTGGGCTTCCTAGCCACAGGGTCATTTCAGAAGGGGCTGGCCGACCGACCGGGACTGTGCCAGTCGACAGTGAGCAGAGCCATGCCAGCTGTGTGGGATGGAACCATCCGGATGTCAGCCAGATATATCAAATTCCCACAGTGTAGTTGAACAGGACGACATAAAAGTGCAATTTGTACCGATGGCTGGTTTTCCTGTTGTAATCGGAGCTATCGACTTCACACACATTGCTATAGAGGCACCATCACTAGATGCATTTGTTTATGTAAACAGGCAGCATTTTTATTAAATCAGTGTACAGATCATCTGTGATGCGCAAATACAATTAAGTAACATTGTTGCGAGGCGGCCTTGACCAAAACACATTCTGACCAACAGCATGGTTGAGAACAGGCTACAAGCTGGCACGGTGCGGGATGGGTGGCTTCTTGGTGAGTAAGTCATTTAATTGTCCTAATATTAACCCCCCCGACATGCGTTGACGCCGGGGAGGCTGGAGGAATCCCACGGGTCTGTGATACGAGGCTGAGACTGCGTCTCACAGTCTTCTCCTGCCTCATTGTCTAATGGAAAATAATAAATTGAGTAATCTGACATGACACAAAGTTTTGATTTCCTCTTTGATATCCTGGCATGATTACGCAAGAACCTGTATCTTGTTTGGCTGCGAGCAGATTTTTGTATGACCCGTGTAGTGAATAAATCTGTGAGTTACACAATATATATTTACCTTGAGGGTGATCTGAGTGACCTGCATGTGCTCCCACCACCCCTGTGACAGCAGTGTCACCCACAATCGCGGTGACTCTCTGCTCAAACATGGTGAGTTCATCCTGGTTACTGTTATCTGATCCTGCAGAGAGGGGAATCCCACCTGTCGGCCCTGTTTATACTAATTTGCATATTTAAATTAGGGACATGGAGAGAGAGGAGTCTGATACTCCAACATGTGCGGTCAATTCCACGCTGAGTGAGATGTACAGTGGAAATGTGCTTGGATTTAGGTGTATGCTCACTTTCGTTCATCTGGATTTTTTTTGTGCGTACGCAGTTTTCAGGATTGAAGCGTACGCCAGGTTTTAGTATGAAATCCACGCAAGTCTTTGTACATGAGGCCCCTGGTCCAGAGGCATGCATCCCATAATAAACTCCAAACGAGAACAGTCTTCCAAACTTCCAAACAGATGATTCAGCAATACTTCCTAGAACAGAGAAAAAAAAAAGTTCTGTCATGCAAACTACCACTGGCTTGCCTGAAAGACTGGACTGTGACATTAGACACTTCTGTTGAAACAGATTTTACGAAGGTACACACACTAAACAGGCAACAGTTGAAAATGAGCTGCATTCATCACCATCATTGCACAATAACTCCTTTTATAACGTGGTGTGGAAAGAAGTGACACTTTCATTGATTTATTTGGCTCATATCTATCTATCTATCTATCTATCTATCTATCTATCTATCTATCTATCTATCTATCTATCTATCTATCTATCTATCTATCTATCTATCTAT